CAGTTACCCCAAGCTTTGGTGGTTGACTCATGGACCAACCATTTTTTCAAGACATCTTGGTTGGGTATTAGTGCCATCATGTGCCATATTATACCCTGAAACCCACGGCATTGTCCAGACCATCCAAAAAAAACAAATATATATGTATATATATGGAACAAATACATGCCACTTACTCGGCGGGGTGATACCGGGTGATAAACATATGTAGTTATTCCATACATGGATGATGAATGGTGTGGGTTTGGAAGCTGAGAGGGTCGGGAACATCAGACGGACATGGATTCAGATTGAAGGACAACATCAGTCAGCACCACAACGGACCAGATCCCTCACAGATTCTCATGGTGCTGTTCCGTGTTCTCGTGTGTGTGTGCAGTGTGTTGGTTGTTTTTGAAGTTGGTGCTTTTTCTTTTTCTTTGGTTTATTGAATGTGTTTGAGTATCCCCTGCTGTATGTGTTCCTTCCAGTTCAGGTAACAAGGCTGTTTGTATGGATTTGTTCTAACTTCGATGAGAAGTGAGACGGAAAGATACTGCACCATTCAGTGCGAGAGCGTCAAAGTAGTTGTGTTTCCTCAATCGTTTGCTGTAGAACCTATATATATATTGTTAATTACCAATTGATCGGTGGCTAGTAGCAATCAGTTCCCCGGTTCCTTTTGTCCTCGTGAAATACATTGAAATATGCTCTTTTGACCACCTGGCCTGTAAACAGGTCTCCGAAACCGCTTCTTCTCGGTGTTTTCGCATGGCATTCCAGTGATTTTGGCCTGCTGGGGGGTCCTTCGTGTTCATCCCAGAATTGGTTTAAGGAAACATCTACAGGAGATCCCTGGTTTTGGGGGTGAAAACCATGGCTTCCTGAGAATGATTGATCTCAGGACTTTCTTCTGATTTTGCTGCGGGAACTGCTGCCCATGAGACCGGACTTGCGACTGATTCTCATGAGTGCTACACTGGATGTGAGCCTTGGCTGGTTGGTCTGGATGATTCGTGTTTGCTTTTTGATGCTCCAGCAGCTGAAGGGAGATCAATGTGGACATTTAGGATCTGTGCCCAAACATGTATGATGAGCTAGCTGGACTAAATGTAGACCATACCTGAAGCAAAAAAAGTATTTTCAGAGGATTCAGGTTCACTGTCCCGTCTCAAAATGTCCGGCGCACCGACCTTCCGTTGAAGCCAAGGACCGCCTTCTCCGAATACTTTCACTGCCCGGCTTTGGAAGTGCAGTCGGAATCGCTCTTCCCCGTGGAGGAGATCCACTTGGAGGATGCCTTTTTCAGCGACTTCGCCTTCACCAATGCGCTTCCGAATGCCGAGAAGCAATCGAGGCAGGCGAATGAAGACGGCTCCTCGGCTCGATACTGGCCACTGGAGGTGGCGAGGGCTCCATCGGCACCACTTTCTGGTCGAAGACAGATCTTTCTGACTTAGGCATGAATCTATCCCAGACACTGGGACTTGCATATTTACACACATTGACCCTAAAACCACCCCAATGTTGGCATACATGGAGTGTTTGGCCTATGGCTATCTCCAGTAGCAGATGCTACAGACTCAGCAGGCACTTACCTTCTTGAGGATGCAGCCGCAATGCAGGAGTGTGTAAGAACATCGATCAGCAGCTCTCCATACACCTATGAAGAGATTCAATAGAACAACACAGAAAGTATGGAAGAGACTGCGATGTCAACGTGTCAGTCCTTTTTTTCAGACACAGCATGCTCAGCATGCAGTAGTGAATGGAGGCGCATTGCCTTGTGTGTTTCTCAACAGAATACAGCCACATAAATAGATTAATATACATATATACATAATCACACATAACATAAATCAAGTCAAAAGCCTCACATCCCTTTCCGAGGTGTGCTCACATTTTTGGAGAATGGACATTCCCACTATGATGTTTACACTTCCTGATCCATGCAGGAGTGTGGAGTGGTGCTCCTTGTGGGCCACTCCAATGTTCTTTTGAACGACAGCTTTGGAGGGATAGTTCTACAATGTTCTACATAGTTCTACCAGTTTGGTTTGGAGCTTCAAGCATGCTACAACATTCTATTAAAAACCAAACTCTAAAGTATGTAGTTTCTAGAATCAAAGCAATCCTGGTCGATCTTATTTCTCAGTCAGTAGTTCAGTGATTCCAGGAATCTCAACCTCTCCCATGTTGCCGCGCCCAACAATTGAATTGATAGCTCCAGTCGGACGAATTAGACTGTTGGAACACGTTGGAACCTTTGGACCTGGCCCTAAATGCAGTGGTTGGCCCGGGACACTGGCGATGATTCCGAAGACTTGAAAACGGATGTGATTCACTGAGCTCCCAGAAAGAACCATCCGACATTTGGGTGTCTCCCCTCCCAGCCACCAACTCCAACTCTGCAGCGTCCCTGTCCCGGGTCTCGCAAACTGGCGAGGGTCTCCAACCTACTAGCGAGGGCCTCCAACCTAATAGCTTCTAGCTATAATTAGTAGCTTCTTGTTACTAGTAGTGCCAGGAGCTACTAGTCGATGCCCTTGTTCCTAGGTGAGGGGGAGGGGCCTGAGATGGAGAAGTGCTTGGACATGATGGACTCGGCCATCGGCTCCATCGTGGACGAGCTCAGCCGACGGCCGGACCAAGACCGAGGAGCCGGTGACGCCGGTGACGAGACGGGGAAGCGAACGAGAAACAACACAGAGCGGGAGGTACATGCACCGGACATGCATACATGTTTATACCACTATGTCTACCTGGGACTACTTACGGAGGGGTCAACGTAGGACAGAATATACATATTCCATCCAGATTGAGTATAACAACTATAATAGACATAGTGAAATAAGATGAAATAAGCCCTTCCAGGAATGAGGCAATTGGGCTTGGTGGGGATCGACAGTGGTTCTGAGAGTGAATTTACACTGAGTGTGAAGAGCGCGAGGACGATGCCATTGAACCAAGCATACCAGAGGGGATGGCAATAAAGTCAAGAAACCAAACATTTTGGCTTTTCTGAACACCATTGATGTTTGGATTAATTGGGTATCGGTATCGAGGGCTGAGAGTAAAAGGGGTTGACGCTCAGCTCCTGGTTTCTTGTGGCTTCATGGTCTTCAACTGTTCCAAGGAAAAGGCTCACAGAGAGATGTTTGCTTTGGTATTTCGATCGCCCTGTGGGGCCCAAACCGTTTGGAATTTGATGGAATTTGCCAGGCGCCTGTTCCTTTCAACAACAAAATCACCTAAGATGTAGCTCAGAGCGCCTCTCATCGGTTGAAACTGGTCTGCTCAGAGTGCGCATCACTGGTCGAAGCGGTCGACTTCGACCAGTCGTCGCTGGCTGGGAGGATCCGTTCTGTGCTTTCTTCCTGGCTGGAATGAGATTCGACAGATCGAGGCTCACCACTCGTGGACGCCGGGGGCGTGGAAGTACTGCGTGGAAGTACTGCTTGGAATACTGGAAGGTACAGTTCGGGTGTTTGTGGCCCTTTTATTTAGGACCCTTGTGGGTCCTAATAGATTTCAGTGACAGATGTTGCTGGCACATGCTGGCACCCAGCCTTTTTTCAATGGAAACACAACAGTTTTGAGAATATTCATGGATTCATTGTTCGATCTATTTCTAGAGTTTGTGGAGGACTGGATCCCTTACTGCAAGTGATCTCAAGTGGTAAGTAAGCTGACCATCTCATCAACAAGCTGCGGTCTTTGTGGAGGTGTTTGCCTTTGTTTCCACAGCACGTTATACATATAATAGTCGCTAGTATCGAGTCTTCAAACTGATATTCCTTTGGTGCCTGAAAGCCAGAGTCCGGTTCCCGAGAGGATCATGTTGTAATCCACTGGAAACAAGTTGCGGAACTTTGGTTGTGGGCTGTTGAGCTATAGATGCCAGAACAATGCAGTTGTACTTATAGAGGTTTCGCCACACACCATTACACACACCCGTAGGCCGCTCAGATTCCTCAACAGATTCCTCTCGTTTTCAATGGGGGAGCTCGACACTTTGACAGCTAAATGTATATATATACATTTATGAATAAATATTACTATATATATATACACACACATATGTTTAAATTTATATCAATAATGATGTAATATATATATATATACACAGTATATATACAGTATAGAGAGAGAGAGAGATGGTGTACAGACATGGTATACATGGAATCTTCGGTTGGTTTGGCTTCTGAAACCATGGAAAAAAACATGGAATCTTCTTGAAATTTGATCCCACCTTTCGAAACTGCAAGGAGCGGCTGGCAGAGGGCTCAAGGGCTTCGGCCATTTGGGCTGTGCCGCTGCACTCCACCTTGCCGAAAGAGCGGCAACAGCAAGTCTTCAGGTGCGAAGTGAGGGTCGGGAGCTGGAAGTTAGCAGTGACCATTTCCAGAACACCAACTTCCTGGGCAGATGGTTCATTCACGGATCTTGACCTCTCGGATGATCAGATGCACGGGTTTTGAGCCCAAAAGATCGACGGATCTTTCGGGCTCCGCCCGCAGGTTTTCCAAGATCTTCCTTCCGATCAAGACAGTGCAAAAACCATGGACTTGAGATGAATGGACCAGCATCCCAACCCAAGCCACTTCGCATGGCGATTTTCCCGTTAACCTCGCTGCAGGGCAGAAACGCCACGCATGGCTTGCACCGCCGATGTTCGGCCGCCTCTGCACATTGGCACCCTAGGCGACCGCCACGGGGGAAGGTCAAGGTCATTCTGGGGACGAACATCGCGGAGAGCTCAGTGACGATTGGCACCTGGGGCCGAAGTTGGATGGTCTTTTTGTTCTTTGTGGCAGGTCCGGTGTTCTGATCAGTTCTGCGGAAGATAGACATCCGGTGAACACCATGTGAAGACATTGTGAACATTGAAGAACTAAATAGAACCGAGATTCATGGAGTGTTTGTTTTCCCAAACATCTGGGTTTTTAGAGACACAAACATCTGGGAGGGTCCAGGCAGATGACCGTTTGTCGAGGCAGGTCACCATGTTCGTTTTCAGTGCTGCTTTACTCTTTACGCATGCTTTTCAGGTGGATTGAAAGGTGCTTCAGGTGAAGGTGCTTCGTTCTCCGTTGGGTCCATGATCATGAAAGCTGTGAGGGAGAGCCCCTGGAAGTCGGCAGTCAGGGTTCCTGCTTGTTTTGTTGCGAGGTTGGCTTGAGCAGTACTTCGTGGGGAGTCTAAGGTCATCATTTGTTTGATCATCGATCAACCCGTTTTGGAAGATTTGTAGAGAAAAGACGATTTGCAACACCAGTTCCAAGAAGACGAGGTGATGTGGAGGTGGTCATTGACTCGGGCTTGAAGCTTGGATCAAAGTCGCTGGGGGATCTCACAGCGACCTCCCTTGGTGGAACGGGACATAAAGGACTTTGTAAACTTATATATAGGAGCTGTTTTGCGCTTGGCAGCTTCGACAAGAAGGAAAGTTTTGACCAGAATCATGTCCAGCTGCTCTAGTTGTGCGCAAAGTTACAGAAGGCCACTGGATTTACAACTTGTTCACTGTGCTAATGAGCGGCTCTTCTCTCAGTTCAGACAATCCATGAGCAATGTAGGCGACGTAGATTAGTAACCAGGGGCTAGCATGAAGTACGCCGCTTGAGCGCAGACCAGGGCCGTTGTTTTCTTGAGATTCCCAAGAGATATCTAGAAGATCTAGAATCTAGAAGCGTTGATGAATTTGATTCTACCCGCTATACATACATTTGGTGTAGAATTGTCCCAAGATACATGAGGGAGCATACAAAAACGTTATTTTCAGTGTACAGTGTACCTCTTTGGCTTCGCTTGAGTGGAGACTTGGTCCATCAAATCCCACCGTCGACGCGAAGTAGAGCAGGACCCAGACACTCCATGGGACTGGCATATATGGCTACATTCACCCCTGAAACCATCTCAATCATAGGCAAATATGACATACATGGAGTGACATGGAGTGTCTGGGGGGATGGATGGACTTGGATTGATCAAAATGACGTTGTGGGGAACTGAAAGAGACGAGACGACAATGCCACAATGTATGTAATTTCAGGGATGGCAAGTGTGCATGCCTCCTCTACCAGAGTTCCATGATGCTTTATACAACGGTAACCATACCAGCACCTTCCAATAGGTCACCACCTGCCACCTTTTAAGTCTTCAAAAGCCACTAGAGGAGACCTGCAGAGGGTGCGGAGATATAGGCGTTGCCAACACTCACTGCTATGCACACTCAAATGGTCGTTAGGCAACGAGAGCTCACTTACGACCCCAAGCGCCGCATCTCCTCGCTGGACACAGTCTGGGTCTCGCAGAGCGGTGCCGTGCAGCGCCGGGGCCGTGCCGGGCGCGTGCGCGCCGGCCGCGTGCTGCGCCCCTGGGCACGGAAGGTCGGACAGTTGCTGTAGGGTTCCACAGGATCCACTCAGCAGTTACCACGAAACCCTCCAAACAAGCAATGGAAGGTTGCACCAACGGTGGTCAAAAGCCCACCCTCAGAAACTGCAGGTAGGACAGTGTGACAGTGAAGAATGGGGTACTTTACAAACTGACGTTGCAGCTCCATGTTTTGTTTGACATTGAGGCTGAACTCTATCTATATTGACTTTCAGGGAGCGTCCATGTTTTTGGAGCGCCTCTTCCACCACCTAAACCCACAAGAAGCGGAGCCACCGTGACGTCCTCCGCCCCTTTCTTCCCAGCGATCGACGAAGAACCCGCGATCGAGGCTTGTACAGCCGAGAGCAGTTCGACGCCTTGCCCTTGCAGCCGTCGCCGGAGATGCAGCGCTGTGATCTGGCACAGAGCTGCCTACAAACTGTGCCTTGGTGTGGAACGGCAAAGCAGATCCATACACTCCATGAGCCATGGGACTGGCATATTTATATAATTATACCATATATATATATACATTGGCGTGGTTTCAGTGATTCTAATAGTTTGCCCCACAAGCCCCCCAAAACAATGCGACGAACCAACTCCAAGCAGAAAGAGACCGGAACCATGCGGAATTCACAGTAGGGAACAGATATGAACAGATCACTCTTCATAACTAATTATATACATCTACTAATTACTGTGGTTGTTTCTTTGATGTTTTTCTGCATGTAGTTATTCTTGTTTGAAATCTTTGTGTGAAAAAACAATGAAGGACATGAACTCTTCTTCCATCAACTGGAGAAATCCACTACCAAAGCTCAATCCACTCACACACCTCGACACAATGATATCAACCTCATGATCAGCTACTGCTTGGTGAGCAAACATTTATCAAAGCATATGCCATCCGATTCATCCGGTCTTGGCCGAGTCAAGACGATCACTCAAGACGAGCACCTGGACCTTGTAGGGGCGCCTCTTCAGCCATGCGAGAAGAAGCCTGAAGAACTTTTGGACTACTTTGGACACCTCTTCAGCCATGGTCTACCACATATCCACATCATATCAAATCATCTATCGCCAGACCCTTTTCAAAGACCAGGTCGTCGCGCTTTTCCTCGATCGCCCCTTGACCAATCGGGTGTTCTGACTCGGCAAGGTGGCGTTGGGTCGGCATCCCCGGAGCTTCTTGGCCAACGCCATCGACCCCCCCGACGTGGCGGCGGTGGAGATGGCCATGGAGCAGCTGGTGGCGATCCACGCCGTGGAGCGCCCTTAACACGTTTCAAACGGGTGAAGAGTTGGGAGGAAAAAGGGGAGAAGGCGTGGTAGTTGAGGATGGTTTGTTGGGTCTTTCTTTGTGTCTTGGAAATGCGTTTTAGATCTTTTTTTTTGGGGGGGGGAGAGCTCTCGAAACTATAGCTGACTGACAGGTTGAGCACACGATGATGCGCCATGGTGCGCCATTGCTCTTGATCCATTCTACGGTGTCTTCCCTCATGATCGACAAGTTGTTCCATGGAACCTTGCCTTGAAGCCCCGCCCCGAATTCTGCAGGACGCTTCCAGAATTCCAGACACCAGGGCTTCTGCTTCCCGCCCCGAATCCAGAAACCTGGTTGGACCAGCAGGTGTCCTCGCTCGCAGGACCACTCGGATCCCGACCCGGAGGTTTGTCCCTTGCTGCTGCCCATCGGCGAGGTTCTGGCACGCTTGCCCTTGGAGCCGCTTCTAGGTGGGACAGACAGGAGCGTTATGACCTCGACAGGAAGAAGCATGAGCATCATGACCTCGTGGTTTCACAAACCGGTACCAGGACCCTCCCTGGTTCTTGGAGCACCTTCTTTTGTTCGACAACCCTCGAGGGGGGGTCCCTGGTACTTGTTAGCCGTGGGTGCCCAAAGTGCGATACAGTGTAGAGTCCTTAGTCCTGTCTCAAAGAGATCATCTCGTGCGAAGGTCGACCAATGGTTGGCTAAGTGTGGGAATATATTAATGATGCATCATGATGCGAAGTTCAAAGTACTGAATTGGATTGAATTGGATGGGTGCTGGATTTCGTGTCACTCGTTGGTGAGACCACCAAAAGCACCATGAAGTCTTAAGATCAATGACGTGTGTGAAATTCATCTCTGATCATCTCTCCAACACATGCCATTCTTGTGCTGTGACCCAGCAACTAGTCGTGCTATTTCGTGCCAGTCGTGCCAGTGACGCGTGTATTGCAACTGCCCTAGGAATCCAGGCCCGGCCTACTGGGAGACCCGGGGCACCGGTTTCAGGTCACCCTGTGGAGGCTGTTGGTCTGTTTGACCAAGTCTCTCAGCCTTCATCCCTTCCAAAGCTTCTTTCGTCTTTCCCCTATGTTCTCCAACCCTCCGCAAAAAAAAGGAGCCAAAACCTGACCAAATACTCACACCACAACCCTCGACCCATATATTCCACCTTCCACCTGCACACCCACTCCGACTCTTATAAGTTCCTCTCCTAAAAGGCCGTGCAACGAACTGGTTCCAGGAGTCCCAGGAGTCCCAGAACACCTCCTCCCCACCTGCGTCCAGGTCGTGCTGCGTTGTTGGGTTGCATCTTGGGGCTTCCGGAGCACTCGGCCGCGCTGTTGGTGGCTGCTGGCGGTCGGACGCCCTTCTTAGGAAGCCGCTCTGAGCTCAGCGATGCCCAGGGCGCGCCACCTGGCGATCCGGGGTGGCGGCTTTTTGGAGATGACCGGGAGGCTGGCTGATCCCATGAGTTTTGGAGTGACTTGGGGTGGAGGATGGCTGATTTCGGGAGGCTTTTCAGTGGGAACAGTGACGCTTTTCTCGGGGAGGTGTGACTTGTGGAGAATATGGGAGTTGATCGAAAACCACGTGTAAGGAGGTTTATATAAAACAGCCTTTTGGATGTTGTTCAACCCCCCCGCGAAAGCTTCGCGATGAGGTTCGCGAAAGTATCTTATTCGCGAAAGATTTATCGAAGGTTTTGGTTTTAATATTGGTTCCCTTTATATGGTTTACTTGAAGAACAGCTTCTACGTAGATCTACCTGTAGCCTCGTTCGTAGTATATTTTTTTTTGTGCGATTGAGTATTGCTCATGAATCCTGAAATCGATCATTAATTCACAAAAGATCTTGAATGATCACTTTCTGAAATATCGAGCACTTTTCAGTTTGGTGTGGTCTAGCGCCCGCTGAGAGAGCTATTTGGGCCCAATGATATTGGGTCTTCAAGCAGTTGCTGCCCCTCCAGGCATTGGTAGCTGTGTGTGCAGCTGCATGCTAGCAGTCGAACACAATCACCCCGAGCTTGCACCTGGCCGTTGCAGGTTCCATGTGATGGCTTGATTGGTGCCCCTGAGTTGGGCTTGGGGGTGTGAAGTTGTGGAGTCGCTCTGTTTTTTGGGGCTGGAAGTGATTGAAGTGCATCCTGCACGGTAGCATTTGGCTTGAACCCCGTGATATCCCGTGCGAAGCTTTGGTCAACCTTTAGGCATGAGCACCTTTGATGCTGACCCAAACGTCCTGGAAGAGTGGGATAAGAATCCCACGCTTGTGAACCGAGCCATGAGTTGCAGCAAACTCCCAAACATCCTCAACAAGAAGATTGGCAGGAGTGATGTGGTTGAGAACTATGAGCTGCTGGTCCCAATCATTGCCCACATGGGCATGAAACCCCACATTGAATCCATCACTTCATTGTGCCGGACCTTCTTGTGGCAAAAGCGGCCTAGGGGAAAGCTTGAAGTGACCAGTGGCTTGTATGCTTTAGTCATTCGCCTAGGGAGTTGGGGACGCCAGCCCTCAGGTTTCAGGAAGTTCGTGTGTTGATGTAGTCTGGTGGATCTTTGAGACATGGACTAGATGTGGACCTAACTTCAACTTCAAAACCAATTCCCTTGTGATCACCTCGGCTGCCTAGGTGGAGCAATCAGAAAGGAAGCTTGGAAAATCCGACGGCTAATCTCAGAGTTTGCCAAGGCAGCCCGTCGGCCACACTGGCCAAGGGAGGCTGCAATGCGGACCCTTTTTGTCACTGCAGGGATTGCTAATTGGAAAGAGCCTGAACCTTCTGAAGGTAACTGGTATGCGAAGAAAGATTTTTTGGAGGATGTAGGTACCATCGATCCCACTTCTATATGTTCCGGCCTAATCCTAGCCGTGTTTGGGGGACATTGAAACCCCTGGCTGCTACATGCACTGCATGTAAGGTGATGACCACGGCGAGACCGACCGCGAAGAAGGTGTCGACGAGTCAGATTGCGACAGTAGTGAGGATGAGTATCCGACTGACACTGCACCCTGTTGGCATCGCAATGTCCTATCGTACGAAATCCTAGCTTTGACCATCTTATAATAAATTATAATGCAGCTAGATCGTATATATAATAGTTTGGGCATGTCCAGGTGTAACGCATGGTGTAATGCATTGCCTTTTCTCCCTTCCAAGGCAAGTTCAGTTCCTGCAGCCGAAGCACCGGCTGAAGTGGCTGAAGGATCTGGAAGTCTTGAAGAGCCGACACAGGTCGCCCAGGAGCTACCTGTGCAGGAGAGTCAGCACGAATCACACTCTCCACCAGTCACCCCACCGCCAAAAGTGATTGCCCACCCAGACTTGAGTCTGCCCAATGGGAGTCAGCCCAAGCACTGCCTCTACAAGAGCGAGCGCTGTGGGTCCTTTTGTCGCGACTGCAAGCTGTCCAGTCCTGACCCTACATGGTTTCGTGACCAACCCTGCATTCCAAACAACTTCAAGGCTGAGGTGGGGGAGAATGAGGAAGTTCGGTCTCCAGTTGAGGGTGAGGCTGAATCCATCCAACTGCAGGTTCAAGAAGCTGAGCGACTTCAATCACAGCTAAGGATGCTGCAAGCGCTTAAAGAGGAAGAGGCGCACTTGGAGGAGCTATTGCTTCAGAAGTCCAATTCTGAAAGCTGTGGTGCAGGAGAGGTGGGCCTTAATCACGGCTTGAAAGATCCTCGGCCTCCCATTTGCACTGACAACATGGATACAGTGCCATGGCACCCTCTAGAAGAAGATCATTCCCACAAAGATATGCAGGAGGTTGAGGAGCAAAGGATGAACAAGCAGGAAGACCAGTCCACCAAGGCGCATGCAGTTGTGGCTCATGCTGAGTCTGAAGAGGTTGAGGGCAAGTCTGCAACTCTGCCCTCAGAGAGCTCCCTTGACCGTGCAGAGCCAAATCCAAGAGAACAGGCCCCTCAGGCGGTCATTCCATCAGATGCGGCAGGAGGAGACCGAACTGGTCGTATCCGAAGGTTGGCTCATCTGTGCAGCCAGTTCCAAGAGTCAGCCAACGCCGCTTCAAGTGCCGCTTCGGATCAGGAAGCTGTGCACATGATCCGATCTCTCAAACGGTCCTTGGATGCCATGTTGGATGAAGCAAGTTTAGGAAAAGGCCCTGAATCTGATGCAAGAGCTGCCAAGCTACAGAAAGAAGAGAAAGAAGAGGCTCGCCCTGCTGCTGTTGAGAGAGCGAAGTATGTATCCCCTCAAGCTCAAGTCAAATTGACAGGGCGGGTGCCAGAAGGGGACGAGGAGGATGAGGATGCAGAGGGAGAGGTTGAAGGTGATGAGGCAGAAGAAGATGAAGGCAATTCAAAGAAGAAGAAGAGGGGCCGAGGAAAGGCCAAGAGGGGCCAAGGAAAGGCCAAGAGGGGCCGAGGAAAGGCCAAGAGGGGCCGAGGAAAGGCCAAGGTAGCAAAGTCAGCAACCAAAGCAAGGCCAAAGGCTGCCAAGCGGAAGCGATCGGAGGCCAAGCCAAAGGAAGTGGCTGGGTCAAAAGCCAGGAAACCTGCGGCGAAGGGCAAAGCCAAGGCCAAAGCCAAGGCCAACAAAGGCAAGAGTGAAGGTTCCAGCAGCCTATGTCCGTATTGCACGGACAAGAAGAAGCTCAGAAGTTTCCGATGCTGTGCATACGCGAGGGCAAAGGCTGCTGCTACAAAAGACGGGTGTGGCGTCGAAGAAGCCACAGCGCGGGGCAAGAAGGCTTCTTGTCATCAACTAAACACACAAGGGTCAGGTCACCTCTATGCATGGAGAATTAAAAGTATACATATATAGAATCGCAAATCTTTCCCAACTAACTCCCACTGACTGTCCACACGATTGCTGAGGCTTACGAGGAATCCCAGTTCGAGTTCCAGCCCACCACTGATCAGACCGAGTGCACTTGTGCAGAGGATGTTGACTAGACCAGGTCCTAGTCACTCCGGATCCGGAAGAGTGGGGTTCCTACTGTTGAGTCAGGGGTCATCATGTGCGTGCAGAACACGCACATGATTAGGCTGCATGTTTGGTGCAGTTCTAGCAAGTGCTAGCTGCATTTGTCATGCTACAATCCTAGGGGTTTGAAACATGTACCGAGCGATCTCCACGGCAAAAAATCCCCAAAGAGATTCATGGTTGAATTTACGGACGATGACTAACACCATGTGTTTGTGCGAGTGGGCCTTGCAGTTGCCTTGAGGGGTCTGTGACAAACGCACCTGTAGGTCTTAGAGCTAGTCCTCCCATTTCTGACAGGTACTGGCGATGGCTGAAGAAAGATGGTGCTCCAAACCAGGTGCCACCAAAGCTGTTCCTGTCCCCTGTTGTCCGTTACAGTCGTTTTGAAGTCAGTGCAGCGGCATGATTCACGATCAGAACCGATTGGTCACGCAGCTGTGCGGGCTGAACAACTTGAGGGGCCCCTGCCTCCTCACTGCCTTTTCCACAGCCGGCGTGGGTTGGGAGCGCAATGCCTGCCGAATCGATCGTCTCCAATTTAATTGAAGTTGGAGCGCCCAAGGTGTGGTAGGGGAATGAATGCAATTCATTTAGACGCTTCTTGAACATATGTCCATGCTTATATGTGTTTGCTCAACCCCTGAAGATCTTGGTGGCTATAATATTGCTAATGAAGTGGTCTTCAAACATGCAGATGGAGGAGAACAAATATCATTTCTTTGATGTCTTTTCTGGTGCATCCAATTGTAGCAAATCCTGGACGTGCCCTCAGCTAGTCTCTTGTAGATCTAGGTTTTGGAATGGCCACTGAACCAACCACTGCGCAGAGTACAAGCATTGTTCCGGAACTTAGGCAAAAAAAGGGCTACAGTGTAGCAACGTTTGATATTGAAATCCATCGCAGCATGGACTTCTTGGGCTCAGCTGGCTTTTTGTTCCTAGCTGAATCGAATCATTGTGAGTCTCAACCATGCATTGGGGGACTTGGCCCTACCGTGGTTCATCTCACGCTTAGCATTTGGGTACTGCTTCAAGAATGTCCCGACGCTCTCAATATGGCAGGACCAGATTGTGCTCCCTGGGGACTCCCCGCGAGGGGCACGACAGGAAGGTCAATCTTGAATGTCTTGGGTCGACAAGACTTAAGTTTTGTCACAGATGGCAATAGGATGATATCCCGGTCCCTCGACTTATATATAAAAACGGAACCGTGTGGATCTTGCATGTTGCGACCAACAGCTAAGAGTTTCAGGTTGGTACTTTTCTGCCTTGTGTGCCTGGCCCGGCACTTGATATTTGTGGTGGAAAACCCAACTTCTTCCATGCTACCATCGCACCCACGGTGGGATTGGTTTCAGAACCATGTTTGCTGGGAACCTTGCATGCATTGACCAGTGGTTTTGCCTTCACATTGTCCTATAGAAGATACCGTTTAAACCCGTCA